AATGCAATGCATGGAAATAAACAACAGTCAATCTCGTTATTGCCACGTCGCTCAGTACTTAGATAATAAAAGACGGCGCATTGTCCGTTATTATTTGATAACAGGGCAAGGACGGGGGAAAGTATTCCTTTACTTTAATTTTACTACCATAGAATGTCGAATAATTGAATATTCGTGCAGTGGTAGCTTAAGAAGAAAGAAACAGACAAAGTGGTTTAGTGCGCCGTGAACGCGTGTATTTCCGGCAGCATCAAAACGCAGGTCATAGATTACAGGTCAGGTTACAGGTTTCCGACTTTAAAATATTTCGCCTTTTAAAACTTCTTATATAACAATAAAAGCATTAGCGATATTTTACTAGTATTATACTGAATCTGGCAAACAATATAACGCCAACGCCTTCTCACACGCAGTAAAGCGTGAGAGCACACTTTTCCACCGTCTCGTGTATTATAGTATAAGCTGTAATAATAACAAAACTTTGGGTTAAAGCGCGGTGGTCGTCGCGCAGCGCGTGTTCGAATTTCATGTAAATAAACAATGTATTTTACATGCGTTGTATACGTCGCTATGAGTCCCATATCGAACAGGACGCGGCGTGACGACTGCCGCCCTTTAAGCTAATTTCCTATTGATTTCACAGAGTATACCGGTACAATATATGGTATACATATATGGTACAATATTAAGAAGGGAAAAGTAGTTGTCAGGGATTGATCAAAATTAACTGTTTATGATTGCTTAGAACTTGATAAACTAGGATGATAAACTATGTATCCGACAAAATTTTAACAACATATGTGAAGGCCTGGCGTAAAGTGTGTATAGAGTTATTAGGTGATATACTGGTAGACTGACAAAGGTTTATACCAACCAAATCATTTTAAAATATCGTCTCGCCCGACTAAACTTTGTTGTCAAGCAACAGAGACAGAGCTTATTTCAAGTAATAACACTGTGTCTCGTGTAAATCCTTTCATATCACATTGATCAACTGTAATTAGGACTGTTTCTATGCAAATTGTAAGATAATAGCCATGGTGACGAACTGAACTCACATGAACTGAAGATGGAAACGTTGCCATGACAACCGTGGTATACATCATTTCAATGGGCTTTTGTATTGAATACTGATAAATTTCATCAGAAATAACGGAAACTTTAGATGTTCATGACTGCAAATTAGCCTGACGGATTTCAGGGGTAATAAACAAAATAACGGAAAAATTGTATTAAATGCACTGGGTAATGCCAATTTTATTTGAAATCTGTTTCAAATATGAGGTTTCTTGCTTTCATTATTATGGAAGTGTTATTGCATACACAATTGTATTGGACAATGAATAGCACGCCATCTGGAGTTAATAATCTGTGTCAATCGTGAAAACAAAGTCACTGATGTCGGTTGCCATTTGAGGCCGACGCATACCGAATTCGAACAAACACATGATAGCTCCATGCAAATTTACAAGTAGCTATTAATATAAATATGGTTTGAATACTTACTGGAAACCATGACATCTGTTCCCTTCCGGTAGGATACGTCACTCATAGTATTTTTATTGTAAAGAAACCCGATTCCGCGTCCCTCTGAAGATTCCCGATCACACACTTTTCTCAAGTTATGCGAGGACGTTCTGCTTGGATAAAAAATATTCCAAAAAAAAATCAGACAGTGAAAGTGAATGTATTACCGCACCACAGCACAATAATACTAACCAATACATTATCTGTACATAGATTCCTCGTTTTTAAATGCAAAATGTACTTAGCAAGATTAATCAGTGTGTTATTGGGTACCTAATAAGGCAGCTAAATTCCCTTTTATTTGGGGGTGTGCTGTGG